TTAAGTAAGTAAGTAACTTTCACTGCCGACCAGTAATTGATGGAGACAATTGCGTCTATGGATGCCATTGTGGGCATATTTTTCTGCGGATTTTAGAACTCATTTATAAGCTACACCTTGTTTTGTTCCTAGCTTTTAGAAACCGCCTTTATTTTTCATAACAACTGCAGGATAATTCATGGATCAAGGTGACTTCTGTCAACATCAAGCACACGAAAACTTACATTATCTCTGACTCCAGAATAGGGGAATTTATCATTTGAATTTTGATATAAAGTGTGTTAATAATTATACTTAGGCTTTTAGCTCTCTGTGAGGTGTTTTACATCACACATTTATTCTCAGATTCTTTTTTTTTAAATCTTTGATTGCTTTCGTTGATTTTTCTGTTGTATGTATATATTTCATTTTAAAATTTCAGTTCAGCTTAACAACTCTAAACTATTAAAAAAACGAGTAAATATATTCAAATTTAGAAGTGGTAAATATTTTTTCCAAAATTGATATATGTGTTAATTGAGACGTTTTTATCAAAACGTAAGGATGCCGCTCCGTTTTTTTATATATCTTTATTGCATTAAACATATGTGTATGCTAAGAATACATAATATATGAAATTGCACGCACTACACAGTTCATATAATTCACAACTGATAGACAATTATTAATTGGTTTAAACAAAGGTTCAAAGTGTTTTGAAGAATCAAAATGAAAAATTATTTACAGCTCTGTTATTTGTTTTAGTGAAATTCCATGGTGTACAATGTATTGGAAATGAAGAATGTTCAGCACCATTGGAGTGCAGAAATGACACAAATAATATCAAACGTTGCTTATGTGCTGAAAGCAATTATTTCACGTCACCAAATAGTTGCTATTCAGGTAAGACGTTTTTCAAATACGTATCTTTAGTAAAAAATAAACAGCAAATAATTCCAATGGAATTGATATACGGATATTTTAATGTTCTAACGTGAAGAGGATGATTATGTGCATGTAATAAAAATGGACAATTTTTACCATCACCGAACTGTAAAGATGCAATTTACGAGTTGTTCTTTATTTTTAATGCATGAAGCATTCTATTTAGCGACTGTATTGGTACATGTTATATATCTTATCTACCCAGTATACTATAGAGGCGCAAAATTTTTATTTTAATTGGACTCTGAGAGTATCAATTATGGGTCGTTAAAAAATACCAGTAGCATCGTAGGTGTGAAGCAACCGTGACTAATACATATAAAAATAAAACAATGTTGTTTAAGCTATTGTTAATAAAAAAAACATTAGGCTTTTCACTTTAAAATGGGTACATGAAACTGGTAAATACAATACTTTGTTAGTCACAAGTCTAAATTGTTGCAGCGATTACAAATTGCATCGAAATGGTAAAATAATATTCTATTCACACCAGTTACGCAGCTACAAGTTAAAAACCCATCTGTACAAAGTAGAACAACCAGCTCTGTTTACATAACCTGGTCAGTGAACTCTGGTAGCTCAACAAATGTCAATTATAAAATACAAGCTGGCTCTTTAGCCCCAGTAACAGCAACTTCTACTGGAGGGAATGCAACTGGTCTAAGTCCTGGACAACAATACAATTTGTGGATCATTTCTACACTTCCTGCAGACAGCTACTATCGTGAGCGAAATACAAATGTTACTTTAACGTATTGGACTGGTAAGTTGTTTTTACAAGCTTTTATTTAACTCACTTCCTCTGTCGTCAGTCTGTCGACAGTCTGTCTAGACGGAAACGCAGGAGTGAAAATTCGGACAGTTCTACTTGACCGACACGATTCACAGTTGGCACGTGGGTCAAGACATAAAGACAATGCAATCTGAAACTAAATTTGACTTAATTGGATGCCTAATTGATTTTTTATGAATTAATTAAAATTTGGACCGAATTAGTAGGCATGTCTAGCCAACCACACCACACGCGTCATCAATAGCTGCGCCATCACGACCACGTAATGGCTGCGTTCAAAAACCATTGCGCGCCTACTGAACGTGATGTTCAGTAGGCGCGCAATGGTTTTTAGTCATGTAACTCTATTGTAGATAAAACATGTAAAGTACTGAAAAAAAATTCATAAAAAACGTTTTAAAAACAAGCTTTTATGTAATGATGCACTAAAAAGTAGAAAATAAATTATAGACTACTATTTAAATAACTATAAAGAAAAGCGTGGGTGTCTTCCTTAACATTAGTAAAGGTATCCAATAGATACTAAAGTGACCCACGCTTTTCTTTATAGTTATTTAAATAGTAGTCTATAATTTATTTTCTACTTTTTTACAAGCTTTTATTTAACTCACTTCCTCTGTCGTCGGTCTGTCGTCAGTCTAGACGGAAACGCAGGAGTGAAAATTCGGAAACTTCTACTTGACCGACACGATTCACAGTTGGCACGTGGGTCAAGACATGAAGACAATGCAATCTGAAACTAAATTTGACTTAATTGGATGCCTAATTAATTTTTTATGGATTAATTAAAATTTGGACCGAATTAGTAGGCATGTCTAGCCAACCACACCACACGCGTCATCACCTTCATTCAATAGCTGTGCCATCACGTAATGGCTGCGTTCAAAAACCATTGCGCGCCTACTGAACGTGATGATCAGTAGGCGCGCAAAGGTTTTTAGTCATTTAACTCTATTGTAAAATAAAACATGTAAAGTACTGAAAAAAAATTCATAAAAAACGTTTTAATAACAAGCTTTTATGTAATGACGCACTAAAAAGTAGAAAATAAATTATAGACTACTATTTAAATAACTATAAAGAAAAGCGTGGGTGTCTTCCTTAACATTAGTAAAGGTATCCAATAGATACTAAAGTGACCCACGCTTTTCTTTATAGTTATTTAAATAGTAGTCTATAATTTATTTTCTACTTTTTATTTAACTCACTTCCTCTGTCGTAAGTCGTCAGTCGACAGTCTGTCGTCAGTCTAGACGGAAACGCAGGAGTGAAAATTCGGACAGTTCTACTTGACCGACACGATTCACAGTTGGCACGTGGGTCAAGACATGAAGACAATGCAATCTGAAACTAAATTTGACTTAATTGGATGCCTAATTGATTTTTTATGAATTTATTAAAATTTGGACCGAATTAGTAGGCATGTCTAGCCAACCACACCACACGCGTCATCAATAGCTGCGCCATCACGACCACGTAATGGCTGCGTTCAAAAACCATTGCGCGCCTACTGAACGTGATATTCAGTAGGCGCGCAATGGTTTTTAGTCATGTAACTCTATTGTAGATAAAACATGTAAAGTACTGAAAAAAAAATTCATAAAAAACGTTTTAATAACAAGCTTTTATGTAATGATGCACTAAAAAGTAGAAAATAAATTATAGACTACTATTTAAATAACTATAAAGAAAAGCGTGGGTGTCTTCCTTAACATTAGTAAAGGTATCCAATAGATACTAAAGTGACCCACGCTTTTCTTTATAGTTATTTAAATAGTAGTCTATAATTTATTTTCTACTTTTTAGTGCATCATTACATAAAAGCTTGTTATTAAAACGTTTTTTATGAATTTTTTACAAGCTTTTATTTAACTCACTTCCTCGTCATTCTGTCTGTCGTCAGTCTAGATAGAAACGCAGGAGTGAAAATTCGGACAGTTCTACTTGACCGATACGATTCACAGTTGGCACGTGGGTCAAGACATGAAGACAATGCAATCTGAAACTAAATTTGACTTAATTGGATGCCTAATTGATTTTTTATGAATTAATTAAAATTTGGACCGAATTAGTAGGCATGTCTAGCCAACCACACCACACGCGTCATCAATAGCTGCGCCATCACGACCACGTAATGGCTGCGTTCAAAAACCATTGCGCGCCTACTGAACGTGATATTCAGTAGGCGCGCAATGGTTTTTAGTCATGTAACTCTATTGTAGATAAAACATGTAAAGTACTGAAAAAAAAATTCATAAAAAACGTTTTAATAACAAGCTTTTATGTAATGATGCACTAAAAAGTAGAAAATAAATTATAGACTACTATTTAAATAACTATAAAGAAAAGCGTGGGTGTCTTCCTTAACATTAGTAAAGGTATCCAATAGATACTAAAGTGACCCACGCTTTTCTTTATAGTTATTTAAATAGTAGTCTATAATTTATTTTCTACTTTTTAGTGCATCATTACATAAAAGCTTGTTATTAAAACGTTTTTTATGAATTTTTTTACAAGCTTTTATTTAACTCACTTCCTCTGTCTGTCGTCAGTCTAGACGGAAACGCAGGAGTGAAAATTCGGACAGTTCTACTTGACCGATACGATTCACAGTTGGCACGTGGGTCAAGACATGAAGACAATGCAATCTGAAACTAAATTTGACTTAATTGGAAGCCTAATTGATTTTTTATGAATTAATTAAAATTTGGACCTAATTAGTAGGCATGTCTAGCCAACCACACCACACGCGTCATCAATAGCTGCGCCATCACGACCACGTAATGGCTGCGTTCAAAAACCATTGCGCGCCTACTGAACGTGATATTCATTAGGCGCGCAATGGTTTTTAGTCATGTAACTCTATTGTAGATAAAACATGTAAAGTACTGAAAAAAAATTCATAAAAAACGTTTTAATAACAAGCTTTTATGTAATGATGCACTAAAAAGTAGAAAATAAATTATAGACTACTATTTAAATTACTATAAAGAAAAGCGTGGGTGTCTTCCATAACATTAGTAAAGGAATCCAATAGATACTAAAGTGACCCACGCTTTTCTTTATAGTAATTTAAATAGTAGTCTATAATTTATTTTCTACTTTTTAGTGCATCATTACATAAAAGCTTGTTATTAAAACGTTTTTTATGAATTTTTTTTTTTCAATATAAAGTACATACGATTTGATAAAAACAAATAAAGGCCGTATAACTAAGATATCTCAAGCAGGACTTTGTTTGCAATTTTATAGTTTGTTATATTTCTACGTTTCTTCGTTTAAAATGGCATTCTACGAGATTCTATACACTAGTAAAATCAAAAGGGTATAACATAATTAGGCATTTATTTATTTGTATCTTAAATATTTAAAGATTAAATGTAGCATCACATATATTGTTATTTATGGAAGTTACAATTAAAAGATTTAAAAATTATTTAGTTTAGATAATTTGTGCGAAGAAATAACTCCTTAAGAGCACATTAAGAAAAGTTTCAGTATTTCTTTCCCTAACTCAGACACTATGATTCTAAAAAATGCATCCTGTAACTTACACCCCCTACTCGTCCATTACCTTCTTGCAATTACACCATCAATTTCCACCCTCACCCTCATGGTAAATACGCCACTCACTCAAAAAACGTATTATTAACGTAGGGGAAGCCATAACCCTAAAACTTGCCCTATTCATAAATTAATTTTAAACAATGAAAAATCCATGCAGACCTAATGTGTTTATTAGGAAGAAAGAGTAATTGAGACTGCCGGCTAAAGGTGTAAAACGTCTCTAATTTTTTTTGAACGTTTGGCAAATGTGTTTCATAAACATTTCAGTGAAAGTGCATAGCCAAGAATGTAGTACAGACTTTGATTGTGAAGAACTGTTTTCATGTATAGACTACAAAAATAGTGGCAAAAAGTGTCTTTGTCGAGATGGTTTATATTATACACAAACCAGCGGATGTACTCCAAGTAAGATATTTTTTATTCAATGCTTGGTTATAGCTTTCATGGTTTTAGAAGAGATAAATGTAAACATTAAAAGAGTGTTCGGTTGACATTACTTTATATTCACACCAGTTACACAGCTCCAAGTACAAACTCCATCTGTACAAAGTAGAACAACCAGCTCCATCTACATAACCTGGTCAATAAACGCTGGAATCCCTGCCAATGTCAATTATAAAATACAAGTTGGCTCTTTAGCCCCAATTACAGCAAGTTCTACTGGTGGAGATGTCACTGGTCTAAGTCCTGGACAACAATACACCTTGTGGATCGTTTCTACGCTTCCTGCAAACAGTTACTATCCTGATCTAAATACAAATGTTTCAGTTGCATTTTGGACTTGTAAGTTTTTCTATTTAATAAAAGCTCCCATGTACACAGCAAAATAAATAAAAACGAAGAAACATCGTGAATTGAAGATTTGATATAAAGTTTACATCAAATAAAAATGTTTTGTTAGTGAGATGGATTAGGCCTACTTGCGCGCCACATTGTACTACTACTTAAGACTTAATGTCTTCCAAAACTTGTGGCATACCCCACCACGATCATTTGATACAACTTATATCCACCAATATTTTAGTTGATATTATATACCACTTATAACCGCAAATACATGCATGGGAAGATTAAGGTTATTTAGTTACCAAACAAATATGAGTTGTGCTCCACAAAAATAATTCTCAATTCATCGACCCTATAATGTTTATCAAAACATTTTTATCTCGATGTCTGTGGCTGTGAATTATCCTGCTGGTCTCTAGCTATTCCTGTTGTTTTTGACTGTCTTATATAATCAAAATAATTTTATTCTGAATTTATTTGCAGTTTGTCAAAATTTTGTTTGCATTTCCAACCTTTACGCCCGGGTTTTGGACATCCAACCGCTTGATTATTTAATCCTCCGATCATTTCATTTTAACCCTCCTCGTCAACTAATCTAGCTTCCTATCTATTTACCTAACCATATTGGCCTATCTTTAGTCCTTTTCCTATCCTTATCCCAAACCGTGTCCCTAACCCTAAGTATATCCCTCTTATCTATAAGTATCAATTTCTAAATTTTCATTATCTTTCAATGCTAATGTTTTGTTCCATTACGGTTTTATTCAATTTATTTCCCGTTTTTTTTATTTAAAAGAACTTGTTCTTTATTTCTATTCAATTGAAATTTCCCGAACCTTTAAAGTCTTATTTAACCCTTATCAGCAGGTGAAGAGGTAAACTACACAGCACTAGCCATTGGTTTAGGAATTGGACTTCCATGTATTATTATTATAATCATTGTTGCTGCTATATGTATAAATCGACACCTCAGAAACAAGAAGTTAGAAGCTATGAGGAGACAAGAACCTCGCTACAACACACCAAGCAGAACTTTTCAAGATGATCACCTTTATGGTGTGTCTAATGGTATGTTTGTAAAACTGTTTGAAATTTGGAAATTTTGAAATCTTATTGATTGTCTCTTTTATGCGCTAGATATAGCCCATATCTTATTCAAGAAATGGAATCATATCAAATTAAATCTCTTATAGTAAATGAAGTGGTAATTTACAACATATAAAATATATGGTCTTATTTGAAATGCGCCTAATACAAAGACATATTTCATATTAACTAAAGTTGACTCAAAAGGATTTGTGTACTTGATAAACATTATGTCAAGAAAATTTTGAAATGGTAGTGACTGAAAGAATTCATAATTCTACAAAATATCTTAATTTAAAATCTTAAAATGATCTTTTCTGTTGTAAAACAGAAAACATGACCCCAGTTATCAGTGAACCAGATCAAGTCAGCCAGCCAGCAAGAAATGGAGATGATGGAGATGTCTATGATGAAATACCCGACTACATTAATTAAGCTTTTGCAAGATTTAAGATGTATCCACATGTTAAAAGTGCAGTTCAAAAAAGTAAACTGACAACAAATTCATTCCTCAAGACAAAAACTATTATTTTTTTATTGCATGTAGTTTTGAAAAATGATGTGTGTATAGATAAGTATTGCGGTTTCTTGTGAAAGCTGCTAAAACTAAAAAGTACTTATCATTAAGTTAATGAAAATAAAATGTCTTATTATAGGGCCTACTGTTTTTGGAATTGATTAAAAATTAGGTGAATGAATTTTCAGATATTAAAATGAAATGTTTAAAATTGCATAATATGCCCATAATCTCCTAAAACTATTCTCTCTAACACATATTAAAAGTAAAAAAAAAAGATGACTTAATAAAATATCCAAAACAATAAATAAATAAAGGTTTTCTCTTTTTGTCATTGTGTTTTATCCAGTGATGTTTAAACATCCTGATATTCTTGTTAAACGCATGTTTTATGACCTCAGTATTTCTTCATCTCTTTGTTTCAGACAATAGAAATTATGATTTTGTTCATCATTTTTGTTGATTTCTAAAATAAGAATATTTATTATTACTTTTTTTTTAATGTACATGTTTGTAATTTATATAAAAGACGTGTATTTATTTCATTAGTAAGAATTATATTTGTATTTGTGTGTTTTGTAGAAACAAAATAAATTCAATAGCAGCAATTTTTTATCTTTAAATTGCGTCCATGTTTAATCTTATTTTTAACATAACCACATACATCAATATAACACAGAGTTTTAATTAATGAATGAGGCCTAAGATGCGGGACAGTGTAATGGAGGTGGGGTCACTAATAGATTTGGGTGGTAGAGTTACAAAATGGGGGAAAGGTGTTGAAAATATTACCTTTAGTCTTTCACTGCCCAAAATTTTTAGTCTTATTTACATTACAGACCAGGTATCCTAATATATAAAAACCCATGTGAGCACTTCTCTCTCTATGTCTCTCTGTCTCTGTCTCTGTCTGTCTCTCTCTCTCTCTCTCTCTCTCTCTCTCTCTCTCTCTCTCTGTGTCCGCAATATTTTTTGGCAATGTCTTCAGTATGTTCAGCGCTATATGAAGAACTTAAAGATACGGACTTTTGTTGAAAATAATATGGTGGATGTTATAAATGTATAAACTAAATGTTATTTAAAGAAGAAAAATAAAAATAAAGGCATATTTGAATGTGGAAACACATTAATTCTAACTAAAAATGTAGGTTGTCGTGACAAGAACGCAATAAACAATGACGTCACATGGCACATGTTTAAACTAATGAAAGAACACAAAACTGGTGGCGTCATCTTCCATTTAAAAAAATTTAAAATTTACTTTATCTATTTAAAATCTAGATCTAGATATAGAGAATAGTTTCATCAAGGCATCGTTTCGGGGGGGGGGGGGGCTCCAAAGAAAGTCTAACAGAATAAAATGAAATTTTTATAGAAAATATATACTTTTAACAGAGTCCGCCCTTCCCCCTTCCGGAAATTTTAGTCCTCCCCCCCCCCCCCCTTTGAAAATTGTAAGTGCCCCCGCTCCCCCTTCGGAAAAAAAAGTCAGGAAGAAACACTGAATTAGATCTACGGAAAAACTAGACTTAAGCCAGCCTTAGATTCTAGATCTAGACTCTAGCTCTATCTAGAATCTATGCCAATAATGAGTTTTTATACTAAACTAATAAGTTTTTTTTATTAAATATTTTCTCAAACAAGCATAACATTAACATATATAGGCCTATAATTCACGTGTAACGGTTAACCGACGGCTAGTTGTATAGAATGCCCAAACATTACAATAGCACTTTTTGCATCAGTTTTTTTCATCTGAATCTACTAAAACAATATTGATCAGTGTATCCCTTTGATGACATTTGCCAATGTTGACCATAGACAAATAGCCACATAGTCTACCAAGCTATCATAGGTGATTTCACCGTAATTTTTATAACAATGCGACAACTACTATTGCAGCCTCCTCTTTTGCTTTCTCTGGGTTATCGTGTCACATATAAGTGACCTTTCGCAGTGTGTGTCCCACCCATCGCCACTTTCTTCTTCTTAATTGTACTGTACTAGGTTCCTGTCTATATTCCGTCTATAGTCCTCACTTTGTACTGCAACCTCAATTTCAAAATCTGTCTAAGCCATGTGTTCATGAAGGTCTATATTTTTTCTCTCTGCTCCTTTTTGAGACCCGCCAAGTATCTCTCTTGTGTATATTTTCTATGTAGATTATATTTCTTTCGAGGGGGCGGTAGATGTTCGAGAGGAGCCCCCACCCACCCCTAAATAAATTATCAATGACAAAATATGTTCATTAAATTTTTTATTAAATAACAATCTTGTGTCCAACGCTGTCAACTTTAACAATATATTTTTTATAAGACAAAACCAAATCAAACCTGATCTTCGTATTAGTTGGCAAAAGTCTAGACTGAAGCCTGTATTACTCCCAACCGCATACTAGGCATCATTTCGATCACTTCTAACCGACAGATTTCTCTGAATCTTGGCACTTTGGTCAAAACCCGATGACGATGGAATCTGACATCAAATTTGACTTTATTGTTTTAGTTATTTAAATAGAAGTTCATTATTATATTAAATGAAAATCATTACTTTCTTTTTTTTTAGCTCAAAAGCTTGTTATTAAAATGTTTTTATGAATTTAAAAAAAATATTTCAACACGAGGGACGAACTAGTTTAGCTTAAATATGTTTTTTGAAGGCTTTCTAAGAGGAAATTAGATTTCGTTTTATAAGTTAAACATGTAAAAAGCGGAAATAATACTTGGAAAATGACACTTTAAGTGCGTTTTTTAAATATTTTTACAAGCTTTTATGTAACTCACTTCCTCGTCAATCGTCAGTCGTTAGTCTGCCTGTCTAGATTGAAATGCCCGAGCGAAAATGAAGGCACTACTAACTGACAGAATCGGTTCGTAATTGGTATGTGGGTCAAGACATGAAGACAATGCATCATGACATTCAATTTGACTTAATCGGTCGCCTGATTATATTTTTATGAATTAATTAAAAATTTGACCACATTAGTAGGCAGTTCTATCTAATTACTCCACACGCGCCATCACGTTCAATAGCGCGTCATCACGTTCAATAGGCGCGCAATGGTTTTTAGTGATGCAACTATATTGCAAATAAAAACATGTAAGGTACTAAAACAAATGTAATAAAAAAACGATTTAATAAAAAAAACGTTTTTATGTAATAATGCACTAAAAAGGAGAAAAAAAAATTATACACTACTATTTAAATAACTACAAATAAAAGCGTGGGTCTCTTCCTAAATATTAGTAAAGGTATTCAATAGATACTAAAGTGAACCACGCTTTTCTTTATAGTTATTTAAATAGTAGTGTATAATTTATTTTCTACTTTTTAGTGCATTATTACATAAAAGCTTGTTATTAAAACGATTTTTATGATTTTTTTCCTCTAAGGTTTAAACAATAAGGGGTTGTATTTGTTATTGTTCTATATGTGCTAGCTTTTCCATTGAATATTTCAAAGTAAATATTTATTTTCTTAATGTTTTTCATGAAAATAGAAAAGCTATAAAACTGTGTGGTAGTATATTGGTATAATTTTTAAGATAAATAACATACACATTTGCAGACTTTCCAAACTCTAAGAATCTTGGTAAGTAAAAATAAAATAGTAGTCTACTTCAGCCAATTTCTTCTATTGATAAAATAAAATTTCTTGGTAATACCGCAGTCCTAAACATTATAAACTGATAAATCACAACTTTCCCCTTCATGATAAGCATTATAATTATTATCCCTTAGTTTTCACAGTTATTTAGAAGTAATATAAAGTTATATGGTCTATGAACGTTTTTCAGGTTTTTGCAAACAAAAATAAAAGTTCACAAAATGGTAAAAACATGCTAGAATTTTGTTTTTGATTTTTTTAATACTTCGCTTGAGTGTCTTTACATTTCTTTCACAAAAAATGTTCAAAACTTTAGGGGTTCATTTGAAAAAAGGTTGCAAGCGTTTGTTTTCAACTACAATTTTTAGCATTTAGTATTGATGTTTTATAATAAAGCGACTCACACACACTCATACACTCATAAACATAAAAGTATACACTCATACACACACACTCACACACACTCAAATCTCACAGCGTTTGTACACTCACACACACTCATACACATAAACTTATACACTTTTCACACACACTCACACACAAACCTCACAGCGTTTGTACTCACACTCACACACACTCACATACACTCACACACATTCATACACATAAACTTATACACTTTGTCACACACACTCACACACACACTCAAACCTCACAGCGTTTGTACACACAGTCACACACACTCATACACTCAAAAGCATAAACTTATACACCCACACACAGACTCATACCTCACAAGGTAACCATCCACCGCGGCGATGTCTTTTGAAAGTTACATCTTGTTGCACGTAGACGGTGACGCTGACGGTCTTTGATTTTTTCCCTTGAAGATTGTCTCACCTTGTCAGTGTAACGGACACCAATCTATCAGCCAGATAGATGGCGAACGCTCCCGGATTCGTTTAACTGATTACACACAGATGGCGACAAGCCTAAATAAAAGAAAGCCAACACAGTAATTTTACTAGGACTCGTACTTAATGTCTAGGGGAAACACTAGAGAAACTACTGATGCCAACAATACATTTAATCTGCATATAACTTGTAATAAGAGTACAAAGTCGTGGCAGAACACTAGATTTATACAAGAATAAAATGGATTTACAGAATGATCAAAACCCAACTTACAATGTGTGGGAAATAACAATATGATACACTATCACAGCTTTTAACACTTCAGAAAAATCACCACCGTATACACAACACTGCTATAAGCATAAAGAATTACTTCACCACAAGTAATATATGGTTATGCTACTTAACAACTTAGTATTAGTACTAAACGGCAACACACAGGGCTTATGTCTGATCAACGACGTCTGGTCAAGTAATTGCCTCGAGACGCCTGTGCGCAGTCTATTTATAGACTTAGGCAACATGGAAGGTCACCTTCAACTCATATGGCCATTGGTTGGGGTGATCATCTGGTCTGAATCAATCAATCAGATCTTGATGGAAAATTTCTGAGTCTAAGACTCTCTTGGTAAGACAGCGGAAAAAACCGGTCATTGCACCACAAACCATATATGGTATTATAACAAAATGTAAAAATAAAACATTACCAGACCTAGGTAGGTCACATCAGCATAGAAGATGCTGTAACATACAATAGTAGCCCTATTATACTGTTTTTGGAAACTAAGATAGGTGTGTGTGGGGGGGGGGGGGTGTTGCCAGTCTGCCTAATAGTTTGACGGCCCGTTTGTTCCATGTCGCATTGTATATACAATATACTACACACATGAGCCGAGTTATACATTACATACAATGAAGCTGCGGCCAGAATGATAAAAATGCAATCATAGTGGAGCCGATATTGGACGGTGCGCATATTAGTCGGCCAATGTCTGAAAAACGCTGTCAGTACTAAGTTTTTCGAGCTTTGCTAAGCGAGCCGGCAAATACATTCTTTGGTCGCACTACGGGCTCTGACAATAACGTATATATATATATATATATATATATATATATATATATATATATATATATATATATATATATATATATATATATATATATATATATATATATATACATAATATTAAGTATTAATATTATAACTATATCAAATATTTTTTTTAAACCACCTTAATTAAACATATTAAATAAATTAAATTTTATTATTAGCAGAAACCAAATGTCATATAAAGTAAGTTAACTAGCTTTTAATTAATGTTTTAGAGAAATCGATTTAAATTATTACTTTCGTTTGAAAAATGAAAAAATATCATTTTCATGTAATTTCCTGCTAACGAGATCTGGGCTGAAAATTCTGCCTTTCCCTCTGTGTCGCTAAATTTTTGGGTCACCAATGTTTAATATAATAAAATCACTTATACTAGAAATGTATGTTTTTTTAATTACAATGATTTTAAAATAAGAAAGTTTTTTATTTATTTTTTTGTATTTTGCAATTGTTGTTAATGTCGGTTGGTTACCGCTGAAAATAGCTCAGAATCGAATTTGGTGCAAAGGTTGTTTTCAGTCTCTTAATTGGACGACAAGCTAATTACTACATCTAATACTGCTATAAAATAAGTGAGCTGTTTCATTTATAAATCACTGAGATCCACAAGACTATTTTGAATATCACTTCCTTGTTAGCTATTTTTAAAACCTTCTACAGTCTACACTATCGCACCTGTGTATTCAGTGCATTAGTTTAGCTAGGTTATGTATGTTGTTTCATCGGGCAACTCAAAGACAAGATTTACACTGGCTGCTTCCTGGTTTAGGTGTGCACTGTACACACAACTACCCAGGGGAAACCACTCAGTTTAAGATAACAAGTGTACATGAAGGGAGTCTAATGTGTGTTGTAAGTCACTCGACTGCTGTCCCTTGTCACAATGTTCATTCATCAAGTAGGCCTACTGATAACAGACTGTGCTGTAAGATATTTTACAGTTTCTGTTTTATTTTTAAAAAATATAGGAGGCTTAAGCATACTTTAATAAATAATCCAGACTAATTGTGATATAAAACTAATAGACGTGTTCATAAATGTTATATTATTCGTAAAGGTGCAACATTTTTATATACCTTCTTTTACATAAAATTAACAAATGAAAACAAACTTGTTGAAATAAGTAATCGTCCGCTTTCCCTCACCTCTCTATCTCCTTATAAACGTCAAGAACTTAACCCCAGACCTCTATATAATGTTTTGAAGAAAATCAAGTATTATTTTTTTAAGCTCTCAGTTGCTGTTTTTTTTTAAAGGGATATAACAACGACAGAACACTACCAGCGAGAGTATTTAAAAAATTGATCTAAAGTTTTCTACATTCACGTTCAAATCGGTTGCAGTGAAATGAAATTTTTCGTACTCCGGTACGACTTATCTGTATCTGAAATATATAAGCAGATTACACACAACAAAATTAAAGCGACTTGGGTAGTATAGCTGTTTTAAAAGTTTTGAACCTCAAAGTTTTTCTAAAGTAACAAAGCATTTTTCTCGAGTCGTGACATTTATCAGAAAACAATATGTGCTGGCCTTTGTAATTAAGAGAAGGCTTATTTACCAAAGGTAAGTCCCTATACAATTTAAATAACTATTAAGGCTAAATTTTGTTAGTGTGGGTATCAGAACTTAAGTATCGATTTTTACCGCTTGATGCGCCAAGTAGGCCTACACATGTAATGAAGGTTTTCAAAATCTAAAGCCAAAAAAAATGTCACAGATGTTTTTACTTAGAACAATGTTGAAATCTGAATTCCAAAAACCAATTCATTCTGGCAATGTTCTCAATCTATAAATCAAAACTGAAGTATATATACGTGCTATTCTCATAAGACTTCTTTTAAACCTGTAGCAAGGTCATGTTTCAAGTACAGCAAGATGAACAATCGATAAAAGTCAAGTAATGATTAAAGTAAGGAATCGTTGATAGTTTCATTTTCTCGTCTTATTTAAATAGAGAACAAACATCTATTTCAATTAAAATCCTGAATGTACCAGTTAGAGAGATCGATTATAAACAATAATAATAGTTTATTCTAAAACTATTTTTAAAAGATCATTAAAATAACGATCATAATCCGCTTTTGTGTGTACCAATTAGTTTATTTTCATATTTATTTTTGGAAGGGGATAGTGTTATCTTCCATAAAAGATCTGCACAAAGGCCTGATTCAAATACACATAGAAACTAATGTGTAGCTGGATGTAGTCGTGCCGTCACTTAGGTGGCTATAAAGAGGGTAGAGGGTGGGGAACTCTTTTTGAACTGCATAACTGAATTATACACAGTTGCGATTAAGAAAATAGACTGTTGTTTTCTGAATCCAATTGATTTAGTAGTAAAAAGTGTGAATTAATTATCCGACCAGTAAAATATCCTACAGCAAGCATTAGAGGTGAAGAGGAATCTGTACCGATCAATTTTAAGAACCAAGTAAATAATGACCAGAATCCCTTTGTATAAACTTATAACAATTATACCATTTTACAACACATATTTTTATCAGTTTTATGTTTTGAGTATTTGTGATAAGCTTGGTGTAGTTATAAAATACCTTCGGTAAGGAAAGCAAGATTCTAGGGAGAAATAAATAGTATCATTTCACAATAACAGCACACACCTGATATGCACCCAAACTAAACTGCCACGTATCATATAGATATATGCTTGTTGCAACTCCATCTTTTTCCATTTATTGCCAATGTTACTTATAGCTATAGCTAAAGATCTATATCATCTTACCACGATAGAAAACGACAACTGCTACTGCTTTGAGACCGTTTAACTACACTTTGAATCAAACTGCTGAAATTTTATAGAAACAAGTAGTAGTTTGATTTTGCCATTGCATTATGGCCTTCAACAACTACGATCACATTTTCACCACCTCAACCTTATGCATCATCGTTATTTTTTTGTATCTCATGGTAAGTGTTTTTTATATATTTTGAATTTAGAATTATAAACATTCATACTACAACTTGGAGTCTTCAGACGCTCTATATATACTTTTGTATACTTCTTTTTTTTCTGAAATTCATTGGATGTGTGAGTTTCGGAACTTTTAATTTTGTTTAACATTTAACATTCAATCGATACTTTATTCCTTGTCTTTGTTAGTAAAATAATCAGTAATTTAGTTATTCATATTATTAGAGGCCTAGATCTACACATTCGATAATATAATTTATATTTTTACTTTTTACTTTTTACTTTATCAGTCATGCTGTCATTCGTGTGATTCGGGAACATGCCTGGGTAATGTTTTATTTAATACATCATTTGACTCTGTGTATTCATATCTAGTTGTGATTATATTTTATCACATCAATAAAATAAATTAAATTCTATTAGAATTCTTTTTACATTTTAAGCACGAATGTTAAGCTTTTTCTTTTAGAACTTTATTTTATGCGCCCTAGTCAGATAACTATTTTTTCGAAGGGATAACTTTCGAACATAAGTTACTAGCATACCCGTCCCTGAGCATTGTCGAGCTTTTAGACGTAAGTCTCACGCAATAATTTAAGTGGGTATCATCAATGCGTTACTAATCCCATATTCTTAGACGCGTGACCTTATTTACTAAAGCTGAGTTATTTAAATGTAAACAATGCCTGCGCTGTATTTCTTGGATCATATTTTTCTGTGCACGGGTTTCACCACACTACAGCACAGTACGCCCCAGGGTGTGGTGTATGAAAGCCTTGAACGTAGGCGTCATAGTGCTCACGGGATTATCTGGGGCGAAAAATTGCACCTTGCTGGTGTGCCACCCGTGTAAAATTTTGTTTTCCTTGGAGTATTCTCAACAACATTCCAAAGTTTCATGGCGATCGGATGAAAGGTGTAGTAGTGCATAAAAGAAAATTAAAGTCTGACGAAATATATTAGGAGGGTTTCATAATTACTTTACCAGTCATCTATTCTTAGACCTTGTTTTCTAATTTTTGAGTTATTTAAATGTATATATTTCGTCAGACTTTATTTGTATTTTATGCATTGCTACAAATTTTATACGATCGCCATAAAACTTTGGAAAGTCGTTGAGAATACTCGTGGGGAGATTTTTGTGAAAAATAAAATCCATTTCGCAAGGGTGGCGCCCAGGTTGTTTGCAATTTGGCGCCCAGGGTTCTGCTGTGAGCGCGATAGCGACTACGTTCGTTTTAAATAGTGTTATCAACAAATATGTACTATAAAATAAGCAATAAGTGAAAGCTTATTCAAAATAACAATAATACCTACAAATATTGGGTTTACTACTGCAAAGACTGAAAAATTAATAAACCCACTGCTTGCTATATTTTTACACTTCTTAAATACTAATAGAAATTAAAACCTATATGACACACATAAAATAATAAATTTCTTCAGGGACGAAAATACAAATCAAGGAACATTAATTACAATTTACTTTATAAGTTTTGCTCATTTAAGAAATCTTTTCATTACATTAATCAACAAATGTTTTTATTAGTATTGTTAAAGTATATTTTTAAGCACTGTAAAGCTAATTATTTTTCATGCTTTTATTATGATTTTGTTAAAGAATTATCCTCCAATGGTTCATGCTCTTCTCCTGACCAATGTAAATCCAACATAACCTGCGTTAATGCTCTTTGTGGCTGTATAAGTTACCAGTATCTTACTGGTGATTCTTGTTATCCAAGTGATTTGTTTTTTTAATTTGGCTTGAACTTTTTAATGAACCCACTGCTTGCTATATTTTTACACTACTTAAATACTAATAGAAATTAAAACCTATATGACACCTTTAAAATAATTTTTAAAACTTGCAGGGACGAAAAACAGACTGTAGAACATTAATTATAATTTACCTTAAACGTTTTGCTCATTTAAAAAATCTTCTCATTACATTAATCAACGAATGTTTTTAGTAGTATTGTGAAAAGATATGATTTTTTAGCACTGTAAAGCTATTTTTTTTTCATGCTTTTATTATGATTTTGTTAAAGAATTATCAAAACATTTTCTTGGTAAAGAGTTGAATCCTACTATATACAAACAAAATATTAGAATACTTAAAATAAGAACATTTACCGCTGGAAGACAAGTGATAAAATCAAATAGCTTTTAATGTTTTGATAAATAAACATGAATAAAAGTATTTTTGATAATATGTATTTTATTTTAGAAAAATCCCATAGTATGGTATGTACTACTGGAAATGAAGAATGTTCAACACCATTCGTGTGCAGGAGTGATAAAAATAATATTAACCGTTGCTTGTGTGCAGTAAACAACTATTACACATCATCAACCACCAGTTGCACTTCAG